ACCTACTAATCCTCGTCTCATCCGACCATATGACCCGTCGCCAATCATCTATGGTCCAATCCGCGTGGGCCCGTGCGAACGCCAGCCTATCGCGGATATTTTTCTTGGTGAGTCGCGGCTTCTTAGGCTGCTGAACTGCGATAAGGCCGCTGGATTTGAGCGCATTACGCACCGTCCTAGGATGCACCGTGATGCCGTGCTGGGATTCGACGATTTGGGCCGCATGCCTCGAGGTTTTCGCCTCGCCGCTAGTGATCGCCCTGACGATCCCACGCGTGGACGACCAGCAGTGGGCATTGTAGGACGTACGTCCTCGGGACTAGTCTCTGAAATCGCCTTGAGCCCAACATCATGCACTGTACTTTTCCCAACGCCAACCTGTTTCGCGATTTGCCTCGTGCTGAACCCCCTACGCAACAGGGCCACGATCCGGGCGTGACGAGCCTCATCTATCGGTCTCATCTTGGCGTAGTCTACGCCTCGGGTATAAACTTTATTCTGACTACTCGACGATTGCGTTAGGAACTATGGAGAGAATGCTCTAGTCGAAAACGGATCTAGTCCGCTGCTTGGCCAAAACTGTCCGGATGCACTCACGCGACTGAAATCTTGGCCACGCTATTAGTGCGACCCATTCAGGTTGCAAACGTGTTACCCTATTGTAACTGGCACGCGTAACTTATTAGTCAGCAATGAACATTCAACGATACATCGGGTGAAAGCATTCAAATCATGTGTTGAACCTAAAATTGGACTTTATCCGGGCAATACTTTCCGTCGCTGTATGAGGCACCCCACCGGCTCTGCGTATGGACCACTAGCTTGACCTTCTCAACAGAAACAGGAGCCGAGAGCTTGCGGTCCACCGGCAGAGGAGTGGTCTGTGCCGACGAGTACTGAAAGCCGAACCGCTAGAGAATCTGCTGCACCATATGGGATTCGGAGAGTGTGATCGTGCGCACTGCATGGTCACGAGAGATATCCAATCCCATATAGTGCCGCAGCTCTCCCAGGTCTGTGTCACATGAGCAGCTTGGCATTCACTGAGGCTAGTCCGTCTTTGTACACAAGTATGTAGAACGGAGTCTGAATGGCATGAACAAAGAGCGAGGGGTAAGCAGAGTACGGGAAGAACTGAAGAGTCGTGAGTATTGTATGGAGCGAGTTGTGCCACTTACGGGGTGCCTGGCGCAGACCATAGACAGGCCGGCGCAGGAAGATCTGCTCATGTAGGCTGCCCTGCAAGAAGGTGGTCAAGAAGTCCAAACAGTGGAGCTCGTAGTCACACTTTGCGGCTATGTGGAGGAGCACCCGAAGACTAGTCATCGTCGGGGTAGGGGAGAAGGTCTGGGAGAAGTCCCAATCCTCTCGCCAACTGAAGCCTCTAGTCTTATACCGCGCCTTGAACTGCGGCGGCTCTCTAGGCGGGTGCTTCACCTTATAGATCCACATGCTATCGACTATGTTTGCTCCAGGTGGAGAAACTGCGTCGACATAAGTGCTAGTGGATCTATAAGATGCCATCTCTGCCTCCATGTCCTGTATCCACTGGGCTGCCCAGGGCCCTGGGACTGCCTCAGCGTACGAGCGCAGGGTAGGGATGTCGAGGGCATCCGAGCCACCCTTTGGGGTCACAAGCATGGCGCAGAGACGAGGTATAATGGTCGCAAGGAGAGCCAGCTCATACTGCCTATCCTGTAGAACGTCATTGCCAAGGGCAGGTTGTTGAGTGACTTTGGGCATCTATCCGGCTTGAGTACCAACATGGAAAAGTTGGTACTCCTGCCGCTGGGAAAGAACATTGGCTCTAGGGCAACAGCATCAATCCCCTTCAAGTGGTCGCGACCGTCAGACGCAGAGCGATTGCTGGGTGTCTGGGTGTCGCCGTCAGGTAACACTGACTTGACGTGGGAAAAGGCACTGACGAGGGCATTGGGGGAGCTGGGAAAGTGACAGAAAATCCATCTCACGACTACGGGGTAAGTCGCAATCATTAACAACTACATTATGCCGATTCTTCTATTTCTAGCACAGGATTACCCGCCGCCGGAGGTGATCTGGAAGCAAGCCCTGAATCTCTGCCATAACTTTGTGACGAGTGGCAGAGCTTCAGTAGATAACCAGTCCGTCCTCTGGAGTGGTTCCCTGATGTGTATCCCACGGAAGGAAGGAGGTTTGGGGAAGATTGATCTGAAGACACGGGTCAATTGTCTTTCTCTTTGTAACATCGCAACGATGCTCCTCCAAGAGGATCTGATAATAGCGGGGGTATCAGAGAAGGTGGCACACCTTCTGTTTGGTGTGGCGTCTTTGTATGTGCACCCGGCCCTGCTCAAGCACTTGGGTGGGCGCTGCAGCAGATGGGAAGGATCCGGCAAAGTAATCTTGAATTCAGGGTTCTCCAAAGATCCCTGAGGCCTCGTCTCAGTCGGACACACTGTAGAACAGGGACGGCTACTGATTAACAGACATATCCTTCGCACAAAAGTTACCCCCTTCGGCACCTGGAAGGCGGAGCAGTGTCTTCGGAAGCCAACTCTGGGTGATCCTGTACTGACCAACAGGGACGGATGCAAGTAGAAGGTGGAGCTAGCAGCTCTAGGAGGGCTCTTGAATGGCATGAAGGTGGCAAAGATCGCATTGGGTATTTTTTATGCAGTGCCAGTAGTCTGGAAGTGGAAGCTGCTGGGGCCGTTGACAGTGACGGAAGTAACAGTGGTAACGAATGTAGTGCGTACTGTATCGTACCATAAGAGAGGCTTCAAGATCTCAGAGATTGACAGGGTGGTGGATGAGAAGCTCCACTACAGCCTGCTACAGGTCGATAAAAGTGGTGCTATCATGAGAGATACTGATCCGTGGACAATGGTGGTTTGCAAGGGGAGGATTGTGGGGCCGACGAGAGTGCCCGTACAAGGCCATAATGTAAAGGGATCTGCGATGGTAGACTACTAGCACCATTGCGATGCCTGAGGAAGCTCCTAACGTCACAGCCAAGCAGACCGTCAAAGAAAGAAGAGTGGGAACAGAGGAGGGGCAGTCACGTTGACTGGAGCAGTACGATTCACATCAGGGACTCAGTGGCTATCCCAAGCAGGGCAAGGGATGTCCTGCTAAAAATTCACAGCCTAAACCTACAGGTAGGAGAGAGGCTGATATTCCCGGGGTCGAAGGCACACTGTCCGCACTGCCAAGCATACGAAACCCTTGATCACTGTCTTATAAACTGCTCATCTATACAACCGATCATCAC